GGTCTTGGCAGACACTGGTGATTGGCCATGTCTGAGGCCTGCCAAGGTCCCAGTGCCCCATCCGGCTGTGTGGCCCCAGCTAGTAACTGGTTTGGTGCTTGGCACGTGGGAGGTGCTCAGCTGCTAGCCTTCTGTTCCCACACAGCCTTTGAAAAGCCAAGTTCAGCCCCAGGCTGCTCCCAGGTGACAGAAATGTCGTGAGACACTTCCTCATATTTGGTCCTTATGGCCAGCTTGAGCGAAGGCCAAAGCTGGGGTTGGGTCCCTTTTGAGAGAGAAACCAGGCTTTTGTTGGCTTGGGGGTTGGGGGGTTGGGTTGTTGAGGTTGGCCCCTCCATGCCTTCCTCTCCTCCCAGGAAACCGGGAGGCTTAGGCATGGTGTGCTCAGGGATCCCCGGCCAGAGCTCTGCCATCTCAGTCCAGCACAGTGGTAAGAATAAGGGCCCCGTGACCAGGCGACATAAACGCAGACCCCCTAGGGAGCAGTTCTACTCTGCTATCGGGTGGCTGTGAGCCGCGGTGCTTTCAGGTTGCCCGTGATTGCTTCCTTCTGCAAAGGACTGGCTGCCTGCCACATGCCTGGCATATGGCTCTGAAAATGTGCCAGTTTTGGCTTCTGAAGATCCGTGTAGCAGTGAACACAGCTGACCCCAAGTCCTCACCTCCCAGGGTGAGAAGTCTAGTGAGGAAATAGACAAAACATCCCAGTAACACAAGGTGGCATGCTATGGAGAAAAAGCAGTAGGCAGGATGGGAGGAGTGGAGGTGCTGGGGGAGGGGCAGGTAGGAACAAGTAGGTCCAAGATGTGCAGTATATGCAAGGGACTGTGGAGGTCGGGGGCCGCTGGTTCACGGGGGATTGTGTAGGTTGTTTTTGGGTCTTTGCTGTTCATGAAGTGTGGTCGGGCTGGGCTTTGTTTCAACAGTGACTGCTTGGGGAGATGGCAGAGGGAAGGCACAGGCCCTTCCCAGTAGTGGGGCCAACACCACCACCATCTGCCTCACAGTGAGGGTACTGAGGACAAGAGATGGAGCAGCGTGGCCCAAGGCGCCCAGTCTCTAAGGCCGAGCGGGGTTGGAGCCTGCCCCTGCCTGCAGGTCCACGGACACTGGCCTTGAGATCCAGCTGCATCCAACAGGCTGGCCAGGCATCCAAGGGAGTACATGAGAATGTGCCCTGGCACATGAAGTTTATTAAGGACTGTTGACAAGCACAGGTCCCAGCAAGCCAGGGCTGAGGGCTGCAGGGGACCTGTGGCCCCAGGGCTCCGTTAGTAAGGGGCCTTCCTTTCTGTGGAGGATGCCAGAGCCCTTGCTGCCTCTAGCCAACCGGAGTCCTAGGTCCCGGTCAAGAGAGGGGCAGTCCCTAAGTGCTAAGTCCAGGATGGCTCTGGCCACGTTCTTTCTGAAGGGAGGTTCTGTGGGGGTTGTGCTGAGAGCATCTTCCTAGCATTGTTCACACCTGGGTCTGCTCTGGTGCTGAAGCCCCGGGAAGGGGGTAGGGTGGGGGCAGTCCAAGCACCCATGTGCAGGGCTGCTGGGGGAGAGGAAGCTAAGGATTCCCAGGCACCTCCTGGCAGCGCCCCTCCCTGGTCAGTGCCATGCAGCCCAGAGTGCAGGCAGTGGTGGGCACAGGCTGGTGGGCTCACAGGACACAGCAGGTGCAGGAGGTCAGCCAGTGCCGCCCGAGCTGCTGCTGCAGCCGCTCCCTCTCCACTGTCAGCACCGTCACCTTCTCCTCCAGCTTGCCCAGCTCGGCCATCCATTTCTGAAGGGACACCGGAGAGGCAGATGTCCATGCCGACCTCACAGGCCTGCCCACCCCTCCGCGGGAGCCTGAGGGTGCTGCTCGCAGCTACTGGGCACCGAGTGAGCACTGCTGGGTGGGGCGTTGCCTGATGTGTCCCAGGCCCTCTGAAGCCTGACCAAGTACCAAGGACGAGGCAGTCCTTCCCTCGCTGCTTCGTCATTTGCTGTTTCCGGCTTACAAGGGCCTTTCCTTGGGACCTGCCACCTCTCCTCCATGCTTCCCTTAGGACACAGCACCCAGCTCCCCAGGTCACGCCTGCCTTCCCACTTTCCCGCGCAGGGAGGAGAGGGGTGACCCAGGCACCGTAGATGCACAACCAGCCTCACCCCCAGGCACCGGGCAGTGGCGGCAGGCTGTAACGGATGATCCCAATCTACCTTCTCCTGCCCTCGTGGGTGATGGCGGCCCAGGGGACACAGTGGCTTGGCCCTCCCGGTGCCCGGAGCCGGCCTGTTACCTGCCTGCACCAGTCCTGGATGGCGCTGCCCGACAGCGGGCCCTGGATGCTGCCGTCACGCCGCAAGAACACCTCCCCCTGGTCGGTCTCGTAGAGCTGCGGCTCGCTCTGGGCCTTGGGCGCGTGCACGCTCAGGCGGATCACCTGCGGGAGGGCGAATGCCGCGGTCGCCGTGCGTCACTTCCGTGCGTCTTAGAGAGCCCGGTGGGCGGGAGGGGTGGGGAGTGGGCAGGGCTGGTTCTCCCCCACCTGCCCCA